TACAGATATTGTAATTTTTTTATAGCCATCACCTCTTCTTCTTTGCTTGAGAACTGCATGCCTGAAGATAACTTACCATTATTTATTGATGAGTAATATCCATAGTCACCGAGATGAGGCATATCCGCAAATTCTGGCCCGTACATTGCACCATAATCAGCTTCATACATGTGTGCAGGAGGGTCAGTTTGTGCCATATTTCCTAGAACTTCATCATCATCGGAGTTGAATTGCGGTGATTCTGGGTGAATGAATAGTCCAGTCTTAGCACCATCCGCACCAGGCTCACGAAGCGGTTCTTCTGGTGGAGATGATGGTTCCTCCATGCTCTCCACATTTAGGTCGAAGAACCTACTACTTGCACGCCTTCCCCTTGAACTGGAAGGCATATCGACATTGAGATTGAAAAAGCTCGCAGTCGAATGCCTCCCCCTGAAGCTTGAAGCCATCGTGTCAAATGAAAACTACACAGATGGTTGCGTCGATGACATCTCTATATGGTCAAAGAAATTTGCAGATGAATGTCTTCCCCTTGAACTGGACGCGGTGTTGCCATACAGATTGTTCGTGGACCCACCTCGGTACATATCATAAGGAGTTGCGGATGAATGTCTCCCCATTATGGCATTAAAATCATTATACATTACTGTAGTCGGGCTGTCAACTTGATCAACTTGTTCAGCCAACCCATAGTGGGAGCTTAAAGATTGACCCCGAACAGCACGCACTTGAACAAAAATGTGCATACATCTCAATAGCGGCGTCTGAATAATTACTTTGATCTTCAATCATCATTTGAACATCATCATTGTTCGAAAGTTCAAACGCTGTATAAGTTAATGGCAACAATGATGTTTGAAATATGTACTGCAACGACGACATTCTTCTACTACTTCCAACATGAATCTTCCTTGAAATCTTCGTTATCAGCTCCTCAAGAGTTATGTTTCTCTTGAATGATATTTTAACACGCTCATTTGATACGAAAACAACGCCGGTTTCATCTTCTCGAATTTCACCATCATAATAAACAATAGATGAAAGTCGCGCCATTCTTTAAGCTTAAAAGTGCAACAATATTATATCTGCAAAAAAAATAATTGAAACAACCCTAATTAAATAAATTATATATGAACGAAAATATAACACAATAAATTTTTTACACATCAACGTAAATAATTTAAATAATATAATTTTATATTATTACCTGTACCGCAAAACTATTTTGACGTATGCTCATGCTTTTCAATTTTACAAACACAAAAATTAATTGAAAATAATTAGTATAATATTTTTTCAAATAATCATAATAAACAATAAGTATAATAAAAAAATTATAACAAAATTTATAACGAAAAATCGCACGAACTTCTAAATCAAATATGAGAAAATTACCAGAATTATTACTCGTTGACGGAATTGTTGTATTAATTTATAAGTAAGAGGAGAGAGATGTGAGGAACTTAACGGGGAGTGAAGGGTATTTATAACCATATAAGGCGTAATACCTGCACCGCGCTATATGTAATTATTCAGATAAAGGTATAGCGCGGACCAGGGTCCATGCTAAATATAATTCATACCCAGGTATAGCGCTGAGCAGGGGCAGCGCTATACCCCTACGTGGCGTATAGCGCGGATCAGGGCACGCGCTATACCCACGTGTAAGCCATGTCAGCGTATAGCGCGGTAAAGGGGCGCGCTTTACTGCTACGGGTGTTAGATCGAGAAATATAATCTGACCGGTGTTAGATCGGTAAATATACCGGTCACCGATGATTTTTTCGGGAAAAACGTCATGAATAATTCTTATCTATTATCCCTTACTATAAATTTTTGGGGTAAAGTACACAAATGATCCTCTTATTATAAGGTATTATTTTATTAAGTCTCTCAATTATTAAGAAATTATAAAATGACCCTCTAATTATAGGACATTATTTTATTGAGTATCTTGACTATTAAAAGTTACAAAAGATCACTCGTTATTCATATGTTCCCGACTTATCCTTTCCAGTTAAAAAATCATCGGTCGTCTAAGATGGATGTCAACATGTTTGATTGAGATATGATAAAATATAATCCTAAAATTGTTTGAGTTGTATTTTGTAGATCAACTCTCCATTATATCATCGAGTTAGTGCTCGAAACATTATATCGTTGAACTAGTATTTGACAACAATGACAGTGTCAACATACATCATTAAAATATAATTTTATAATATCATAGTTAGAATGTTAATGTAAAACTCAAATGGTCGTCGACATTTAATGGAAAAAAATGAATTTAGAACGTATGAATAGTCATATGATTATTTTACCTATCAAAACACGCCAACCACTAAGCTAGATTCATTGCCTGGTTATACAATGCAGCACTTGTTTTACCTATCAAAACAAATGGCAGAAAAAAAAAAGAAAGTGAAAAATAATTTTAGTTTTAACTTTAGTAATAATTTTAATTTTTTAAAAATAATTTCATATAATTATTTTTGTAATAATTTCATATATTTTAATAAAAATAAATTACGTTAAAAAATTTAAAATTATTACTTAAATTAAAAAATTAATTTAATGATTATATATATGAAATTATTAATAAATTTTTTAAAATTATTACTTAAGTTAAACAATTTAAATTGATGATATATATATATATATATATATATATATATATATAAATTATTGTTAAATTTATCAAATAATTTATTTTTTAAATAAAATGATATATATATATATATGAAATTATTAGTAAAAAATTAACTCAAGTTAAAAAATTTATAATGGTTATATATAAAAATAGGGTAAACTACATGTTTAGTACCTAGACTATCACTTTTGTTCCATTTTAGTACCTAAACTTTCAATTTTTTCAAAATCATACCTAATGTTTACTTTTTGTTTCATTTTAGTACCTAAATTTTTAAGGTGGGGTACTAAAATGAAACAAAAAGTAAACTTTAGGTATGGTTTTGAAAAATTTTAAAGTTTAGGTACTAAAACAGAACAAAAGAGATAGTTTAAGTACTACACATGTAGTTTACCCAAAAAAAGATTGTTACATTTATCAAATAATTTCATATAATTGTTTATAAAAATAATTTATCAAATAATTTCATATAATTGTTTATAAAAACAAATTGAATTAAAAATATATACATGAGATTATTAAAAATATTAAAATTATTACTTCTTTTTTAAACTTTCTTTTCCTTTTGCTATCTTTTTGTTACAATATGTAAATTAAATTCTGCATTATACAGCCTAGCACTGAGTTTATCCTAGTTCTTTGGGCCTTGATTCATACCCATATGACGCAGGTTCAAATCCTGCCCTCCCTTTGCTTATCCCTTTTATTTCTAATTTTCCATCCAATATGACGGTGACACATTAAATTAGGATCAAAATAATAGAATGTATAAGTATTGAAGATAAATGTAAAATTATACCAATTTCGTTAACATCATTAAATTAATGGAATTCGTTAACATCCACGTCAGCATTTTGTCAACTATTAATTGCAAGCATAGGGGTGTAAATGAAACGAGATTGAATGTCCGTTTATTTATTGTTCACGAACATGTTCATTTAATGTCCGCGAATGTGTCATTTGTATATTCACGAACGTGTCCTTGAACAAGTTCGATTAGCATTTTTTAGCGTTTGTTTATCGTTCGTTTATATATTCAATTTTTAATTTCATTTGCAATCTAAAAAATGATAAAATTACACCACTGGTGCTTAAACTCTTTAAAATTCATAGTCTAAAATACAATTTTTATTATGTGTACTATTTAATCCTTATCTTCACCAATATTTAAAGTGTAAAAAAATATAAGGAAAAAGTGAATCGGGTAAACAAGTTTGTTCATGAACATAAATGAACTAATTGATAAACGAGCTCATAAATGAGCTTGTTCGTGAACATAAACGAATCGAACACACATCTATTCGTGTTCGTTCGTTTATTAAATGAACATAAATTTTTTGTTCATGTTCATTTGTTAACTTAACAAATGAACATAAACGAATATTATATGAACGGTGAACAGTTCACCAAACGCTCTGTTCATTTACACCCCTAGGCAAGCGGCTTGATTGAAAAAAATTAACTAGTTAAGTGATCTAATTGACAAAATTAAAAATTAGTGGTTAAAGTAAAAGGGTTAAATAGTTGACTGATCAATGGTATAATTTACCCTATGGAGCTGAAGTTTTTTCTTTCCGTGATCGATTCAACTATAATTTAAAATTCCGATAGATATTTGTAGTGAAAATAAGCCGCGGTTTATCACTATGATCATTTCAATGTAAGCCGGTCAAAAAGTACATATTTTTTTTTGTTTTTCAGTTTCAATACAAGAAGCTTCAACTCTGGTCATAAAACCCACTATGTAATATTTTTATGAAACTTGGAAAGATTTAAAAATATATTAATGGTAGTCAAAAATTTGAATTTCAATATCTGGTCTCAGTTTTCTATTTTTGAATAATTTTGTTTTTCCCTTTGAAATGAATTAAAATAAGATAGTTTAATTTGAAATAAAAATAATTAATGTTGGATAACATAAAAATATATTCACATCAGTTGTAACTATTTAAAACTGAAATAAAATAAATTCAAATTATGAGATAATGTAGAAAATTAAATTATATTAAAATAGCGAAATTATTAATACTAGATGACAATGTATTTTTGTCAGAGCATAACTTTAAATTTATTATAATAATTTTAAAAATTATCTGAATATAATTAGTGCTCAAATTAATTTAACTTAATAAATTTAAAATTATTACTGATAATTTTGAATTGAATAATTAGAGAATAAGAATTATATGTAGGAGTAATATTATAGTTAATAATATGGAAAAATAATTTAAAATAATATATTATTTTAATAGAACAAGAAAAGAAACACACAGCGGGAAATTTGCGCCACCGTCTTGAAACAAACTAAAGAAAAAAAAAACCCTAATTTATTTTGTGGGATTCCAAAAAAGAAAAAAAAAGGCAATTTTTTACTTTTCTGCTTCACTTTCACTCCCACTGGAACTCTCTCTCGTTTTCTTTGTCATTTTTTCCCGGAAAATTAAACGCGTTATTTGGATTGGGATGACTGTTATTTGAAAAACGGTTACGTTAATTAGACAATTGCCAAAATCGTAGCGGAGGCTAGGGTTAGGACTTTCCCGTTTCTTTCATCTACCCTCGTCATTTTGTCTAGAAAAGTTTCTTCTTTACCCCATTCGGTTCAAACTCTGGCGTTTGGGAACTTATTTTTGAAATTTTAATCCAGGGTTCTCAATCTTAGTCCAAATTTATTGTTATTTTAGAATTATTTTCCTATTTGTACTGCTTTATGAGAATGTGCTGTTATCTTGGTTTTTTTTAATTTATTGGAAATTATGAGGGTTATTTGAGTCCAGAAAATCAGCAATATGAGAGTCGATGGTGATAAAGGGAGAGAGTTAACTAAAATATAAGCTCTTTATTTTAGTGGTTTTACATTTGTGTTAAAATTCTGCTCCTTTTAATCAAACAATTCTTCTTTCCATTTGTTGAACAACGTATTAAATCCTGAGTTGAATGACAAGCGACTGGGTTAAGAGTTTGTGACTTGTCTACGAATTAAAAATAATTTGGTGGGTTAGGGTTTTACGAAGGTGGAAGAAGGTTTTCCCCTCTGATTATCATGTTCAGTTTCCATTATGGAAAGAAGTGAACCAGAATTAGTTCCAGAATGGTTGAGAAATACGGGCACTATTAGCGGGAGTGGCAATGCAGCCCACCAATCTGATTCCTCCTCTTCTCTCTCAGGTACGCTTGTAAATACCAATTACGTTTCTTCTTATATTTGTACTTGATTACAATGTTACTGTTGAACCTGTATCTCCTATTATGCACTTTCTTTCCATTTTTATGGCATGTCTTTTTTATTGCATTAATACCGAGTAGTTGTCATAGTAGGAACTTCTGTAATATTTTATGGGAATATATAATGACTCCATTCTTGTTGTTATATTAGATGTTTCTTCATCGCCACATCATAGGAGAAGTAGAAGCTCTGGGAATATTGGTGATTTTGATTCCCTTAGTTTTGCATTTTTGAATCGGGCATCTTCCTTGAATTTATGGAGGAGTTCTAGTAATGGTTCTTCAAGGCATGCTTATAGTAGTATTAGTAGGAGTCATCGTGATAAGGATTGAGAATGGCATAAGGAGAGGTTAAATTTTGGTGTTCGTTGGGACCGTGATTCTTCTGACCCTTTAGAAAGTAGTTTAGCGAGTAGTGTTGAGAAATTAGGAGGTATACCCACCTCTAGGGTGGAGATTGATACATTTCGGCAGTCTCGTTCTATGGTCTCTAGGAAACAGGCTGACCCTTTGCCTCAAAGGACTGCAGTGGACTCAAGAGACAGCAGTATTAGTAACAATGACAATGACAAAGGTCTGGTTTCTGGGGGTTCTATTGGGAGTAGCATCCAGAAGGATGCATTTCGGAAAGATTTTCCCTCTCTTGGAATAGAAGAGAGGCAATCAGTGCCTGAGATTTCTAGAGTTACATCTCCTGGTTTGAGCTCAGTTTCTAAGTGTTTATCTGTTGGCAATTCAGCTTTGATTGATGGGGAAGGATGGACCTCAGCTCTGGCAGAATCACCTACTGTGGTTGGAAGTAGTAGCACATGTTCCTTTCCTGCCCCCCTAACTGTTTCCACCCCAGTTTCTGGGATTCCAAGTGCCACATCTGCTCTTAATATGGCAGTAGCATTAGCTAAAGCTCCTTCACGAGTACATACTGCTTCCCAGGTAACAGGCTCATACAGTTCTTATTGCATGTATAAATTATAACCTATATATGTTATTAACTAGACAATTGAATCCGATACAGTTATCTGTCAATACTCAAAGGTGTGAGGAGCTGGCCATTAAGCAATCAAGGCAACTAATACCAGTGACACCTTCAATGCCTAAGGGTTCGGTAAGCTATTTGCCTTCGCTTTCAGAAAAATATAGTTCGCTAGTGCTGTTTAATTTGTAGTTTTACTCGTATTAGACAATTTTGGTTCTCGTCCCTCTTGCTTCTGCCTTCCTGTACATTATTTATATTGATCAGACATTGTATACTTAATATTTCTTTATATCTATTTCCTGCTATCTGCATTTAGGATTTCTATGTTATACAAAAACTTTATTTTGGTACTTATGTGCTGGATTATATCCTTCTTTGAACAAGTTGTCTATATGGCAATATTACCAAAATTTTGATAAAAAAGATGCATGTTCTTTTTGTTGGTCATACTAATTCACATTGACAATGGCTTGATGAAAACAATTACTGTTTTAGGTTTGTGACCATTTTTGTATTTTCTGACTTGCAATCACTTATGTCTTGTTTCTTTATGCTTTTCATCCTCTCAATATAAGATTTTGCTCTTGCTTACTAGTTTTTATTTCTCTTTGAGATCCAATGCTAGTCTTTGTCTTTCGGTTAGGTGCACCAATAGAAAGATTAAGTTGTATCAAAACCTGAATTTGTGTTCTTCATTTTATGTCATTCCTTAGCCATAGAAGATCTGAAGGTGATGTAGTTTAAGGGGGGGGGGGGAAACAGCAACAACTAAAATAAATAAGACTGAACAGATGATTAAGAAAGAGGCTGGAACGTTATGAAACTTAGGGCTGTTAAACCTCTATTTCTCTATTAATTCAAAGAAAAATATAATAATAATTATCTTGGCTGTAAAGCCTAAAACTTGTTTATATAGGCTTCCTTTCTTGCAAGCAAAGTTATAATCTAACCCTAGATTTTAACCCTAAAAGTACATAACATCCCTAGCCATGTGTCACATGTTTAATAATTAATATATATATTATAAAATGAAACTGAAATAGTAAATATTGTAAAATGGATAAAGCGCCTACATCAGAATGCCAAGCTAGATCTTTTGTTTTGCTCTTTGGATAAGGCTCCAATGCAATTTGTTTAATGGATACTATCAATTAAATACAGTCAATTGATGAACAATATAACTTTTCAAGGTGCCTATCACTATCTTCTTGACGGATTAGAATTTAAATAGAATAAAGGTTATTCTAGACCTATTCATCCATCACCTAAGCAACTCTTGTCTTTTCCAACGCTGGTTTTGTTTACGCTGGATGGTTTGAAGTCCATGAGGACTTCTGTTTATCATCTGACTATTCTGGTACAGAGTTGTGCTGCTTTTGTACATTTTCACTGAAATTTAAATGCTAAGATTAACAATAGTTAGCTAATAAGCTGTCTGCTCATGAAGTGGCCCTAAAGTGCTTCCTTGCATTACCCATCTACTGCATGTATAAAAGAACCACTCATTAATAGTTAATTATATATTCCAGGTAATAGATATTCAAAAGTATCAGGTAATAATTACCTAATTTCTGACCAGGTTCTCTATTCAGTGGATAAATCAAAAGCCAAACTAGCATCAAGAACAAGTGATGTGAATATGGCTGTGAAGAGTGGGCAGCAGCAGCCTTCTTTTATTCATAATGGTAATCAATCTCCTCATAGTATACATTTCAAGTCTGATATGCAGAAGACATCTGGTAAGCTTTTGGTTCTCAAACCAGGATGGGAGAATGGGGGCTCATCACCTACTAAAAAAGACACTGCCATTCCTACAACAATTGCAAACTGCAGAGTTATTACTAGCCAATGTGCCATTGCTCCTGTTCCATCGGCTGCCGCAATAAACTCAAATAACTCGAAGCTTTCTGTTGGGGAGCCCAAGGTAGGTCCCTTGGATCCAATAGCTGGGTTCAATGCGGAAAAAAGGCCTTCTTTGGCTCAAACGCAGAGCCGAAATGATTTTTTTTAATCTCCTGAAGAAGAAGACCCCATCTAACTCTTCTGCTGGTCTCTCAGATTCAGACCCTCATATTTCATGTTCTACCACAGAAAAATCCGAAGTTACAAAGGAAATAGTTGGTGCGTCTGTTACAGCTCATGCTAATAGGAAAGGTACTGCATCAACTAGCAATGGTGATGTCTGTCAACAGCCTCAAAGATTTTCTAATGATAACGAAAAGGATTTTAACTCCACTGCTATGGTTCATTCAGAGGAAGAAGAGATTGCATTCCTTCAGTCTCTTGGCTGGGAAGAAAACTCCACTGAGGATGAAGGCCTTACAGAGGAGGAGATCAATTATTTTTACCAGGAGGTAAGATGCATCTTCTATTTTGCTGTTCCTTAACTTATATAACAGATTTTTTTCAATGATTTTTTCATGGAAGTTACTTTGATTTGTTCCCTAGTATTATTGTTCCTAATGAACCATGAAGCATATATACCAAAAATTATATAAAGCTGGTCATGATCTGTCTATTGGATGGTCAGACATAACGGAATATGTTTTTTCTTTATGGCCATTGGATGGATTATGTGGAGCTGGTCATGATTTATCTATTGGATGGTAAACATAATGGAATATGTTCTATTTTTTCCTTATATCAATTGGATGGTTTATATGGAGCTACTTGTTAGCCTTTTCATTGTTTAAAAGCAGGGAATGGTACACAATATATAAAATAAGTAGTTAAGAAATAATTCTTAAGTCATTTGCTTATCGTGGTTATTAATTTAGTTTTTGCAGTATATGAAACTGAGGCCGTCAATGGAACTCTGCAATGGCATTCTGTCAAAGCTGGCTGAATCTTTTGCGACCAAGTTGAATGGAGCTTCTTCTGAATCAATCCCACTCGACTCCAAATCTGAAGCTTGATTTTGTTTTATGTCATTGCACAGTAAATCCAAAGACGTTCCAATTTTTTAATTGCAGATGATTAGCCTCCCCCCTCCTTTTTTCCCCCCTCACGTTCTCTCTCTTTTTATGCCTTCTGTTGGAAAGAAACTTGACAAGTTTGACAGGAAAAGGGTATAGTTTTGTTTATTCTTTCTAAGGTTTGCTGGGAAAAGGGGCGTTTTCGTTCTTTCCTTTCAAGAGGGTTCAATTTTGCTCTATTTTTCATTAAGGAAAAACAATCAAATCAAAGGTTCCATTTTTAGTTCGGTTCATCTTACATATTCATTTTTCATGTTAGCTTTTTCGTTTTCATTTAGCCGATGTTTTAGTGTATTTTACTGAATGGTTCCTAGTATGTGGCCAGTGAAACATTGGTTTCATTGATCTTTCCCAACAAGGCACATAATAGGCATCAGGCAGACTTATGGTACTTTAGTTTTTAGTTCAAGACAGATTTGTTTAGACCCAGACGAGCCCGTACAAATGTTCATAACATTATGCATAATTAGTGTTTCTCAGGCTGCCCAACAGAAATGCGGCGATATCATACATGGATTTTTTATTTAGTTTTGAAAACTATGATTTTGAAATTAAATATAAATAATCAAGTTTGAAGTTGAGTATAAGAATTACAATAATTTTCTATTACTTAATATTAAAAAAAGTGTTCAAATTATATCGCTTTTTTAGAGTAGCATCTATTTTCTTTTTTCAATCAATTTAGGTGTCTAACGTTATGAACTTATCACTTTAGGTTTAATTGTAATGGTTGTTAAAACATTCAAGTGATAGCGTTACAATTATATAATTTTAAAAAGTTTATTTAAAATAAAAATAAAAGGGTTAACTACACAATTGATCACTTATCTTTGGGTTTCGTCCACTTTTGGTCATTGATTTTAAAATACATAAGATATGGTCACTTATGTTTTTATTTAAACAAGATTTGGTCACCCGAGCTAGTTGAGGTTAACAACAATTAAATATTTTAATATATTCACACATTTGGTCCCTATTAGTTTCATATTCTCTCAATTTAGTCACACTTTTAATAAATTAAAATAAATTATAAATAAAATATTTTTAAATTAAGTTAATAGTAAAATATATTTAATAAGTTAATATAAAAATATTTTAAGTTAATATATATAAAATTATATTATATATAATTCGGGTCACGGATATCCGGTTCATATTTTTTTAATTTTTATTTAAATTATATTATTTTTAAAAAAATTATATAAAAAATTCTAAAATTTAAAAGTCTATAATATATATAATCCACACATAAAGTTTAAAAATATAAATTACATAATTGAAATAAAATTTATTAAAATTTAGAAAAAAATAAATATAATTAAATTTCAAATGTTTTGAAGTTAAAATAAATATTTTAAAAATAATATATAATGTTAATATGAAATAATTTAATAAATTAAGAATTTAGAGCATTATGGTGTTAAAATTTAAGAAATTAAGATTTTAGAATGTTAGAGTGAAATAATATGAGGATTATGAATAAAAATTTAATATAAAATAAAAATAAAAATAAAAAATATATAATAAATTGGGTACCGGGTCGGACGGTACTCGGTTAACCAATATTTTGTAACCCATGCTCGACCTAGAAACCTGGTAGGGTACCCGACTTGGGAAAATCGAGTATTTTTATTATAAATACATGATATTTTTTAACAGGGTCAGTGGGTCGACGGGTCAGCTCAATCGGGTCTGATATTTTTGAACAACCTTACTGGCATGACATGTGGCATCGTTCGATTGGATGATTAAATTTATTTTAATTTATTAAAAGTATGACTAAATTAAGAGAATATGTAATAACATGGACCAAATGTATGATTATATTAAAAAATATTTAACTGCTATTAATGTCAGTTAACTCGAGAGTGACCACATCTTAATTAAATAAAAATGAAAGTGGTCATATCTTAATTAAGTAAAAACAAAAGTGATTATATCTTATGTTTTTTGAAATCAGTGACCAAAAGTGGACAAAACACAAAGATAAGTTATCATCCATGTAGTTAACCCAAAATAAAATTATATTTTAAAAATATTTTTTAAAATTAAAAATCTTTGAAAACCCTATTTTCAACTCCTAAATTCACATAGACTGTTTCACTTTATTACCGTCGAACCTCCACCTGATCACTCCTCCACTAAACAACTAATAACTCAACGAAAAATCACTAGAAATCGAGACGACGAACCATGTGAATCCAACACTGCAAATCGTAACACCATGCGATCTCAACAATCAATTGACTTTAAGGATGGTGACGTTTGACTATGGAGATGGTAAGGACGATGTTGGCGGCAGTGACGTGACCGAAAAAGGAGGTAATGTTAGGATTAAGGTTAAGAATTTAGGATTGGTGGAGTTTTTTTGGTAATTTAAGAGAAATTATGGTTTTTTTTTATAAATATAATAATATTTTTAAATTTCTTTTTAAAATAAAAATTTCAAAATTACCTAAATGCGACATGTGTCACTTAACGAATTTTTTTAATGATCGTTACAGTAGAGACACCAAAAGTGGGAAGTAGTAAACTTTATAACGTTAAACATCTGAATTGACCGAAAAAATTTAAACACTACTTTGAAATACGATATAATTTAAACATTCATTTTCATAGTAAACAATTTTCTATTAATAAATTTGTACAGTATTTCAAAGGAGAGAATATTTGTTCGAATCATAAAAATAATCATAAATTTTGAAGATGAATTTAAAATAAATATAGTTAAATAAAAATAACTCAAGCTTGCTCGGTTTAATATTTGCTTGAATTAAATAAATTATAAAATTGAAATTTTGAATCTAGATGAAATTGAAACTCAAACTCTATTTCAACTCTGAACTAGATTTGAATTGATTTAACTATCAGAGTTATAATAATCCTATTCTACAAATAGTGTTTGGTGTTCATTATGGGCTTTTAAAAACTTGGTAAAATACATAATTTCTCACTGAACTTTACGCTTTCTTATGTTACTCATTACACTTTTAATTTTTTTAGTTTATTCACTAAATTTTTGAATTGCTCCTATTTTGACCACTCTAAATTATTTTATTATTATTTTGGTATGATGTGATACTTTTATTATTATTTAATATAAAAATAATTTAAAATATAAAATAAAAACATAAAATGGTCTTTCGTTGTTCGTCGATGTTGGATGTCATCGTCAATGGTTGTAGATGGTGCCCGTTCGATCCCAGATTTCATTGGCCACTTCGTCTTGACTCCTTTGTGTCTGAATCCAACATCCATTTTATTTGAACATGCTTCGAATATGATCAAAGGTAAGAAAACTAAAATGTCTACCACTGTCAACCGTCGTCGATGGTGGTCATTCAGTCTCATATTTCATGAGTTGCTTTGCCTCAACCCCTAAGCTCAAATCTGACCTCCATTATGTCGAAATATGCTCCAAAGTCCTCGAATCTGAGATCAAAAGTGAGGAAACAAAAATGTTTCCATCGAGATTCATGGGTTTTTGGACATTTTCTAGCGAAACAACCACTAGATTCAAACTCAAGTTCAACGTGTCAAAACAAGCCTCTCGATACAATTTGGTATCAAACGGTTGTTAGTTTCAAAGGTTGACGGTAATCGACGATGATGAGAAGGGACTACAGTCGTCAGTGGGGTTTGAGATGAAGAAGATAAAGGGTTAATGTTAAAGATATTATTTTATTATTTATTTTAAATTATTTTTATATTAAATAATAATAAAATACCATGTCATAGAATAATAATTAAATAATTTAGAATGATCAAAACACGAGTAATTCAAAAGTTTGGTGAGTAATTAAAAAATTAAAAGTATAATGAGTGAAATAAGAGAAAATAAATTTCAGTAATAAATATAGTGTAGTTTATCTTAAAACTTTGTGGTGTCTTCCCATGAGCGCACAAGTAATTTTGCAGCCCTACTCGCAAAAACCAATAACAAATAAAATTAATAATTTGATATCTATGAATTAATTGCATAAAATCCTGTTAAGACAAATTTTAATATATCATTTAAGACACCACGTTCCATGAATGGTGTATTTAATAAAACTTCATAATTTGTCAGTTTTCTGTTAAACTTTTACTTTAATGCATATTCACGCCGAATAAAATACTAAATATTTTTACACATAAGAAAACAAAATAAGGCAATTTCGGCCATCCGGTTTCAGGTTTCAGCTATGGCCATACTTACACCGCCAAAGTTGATCTTCTCAAGGGCAGAATTGTGAGCATCGACCATGGCGTCGAAGAGGTTGTAGTAGTCTAAGCCTTGATCGATCACCACCGGTGAGGTTGACTCGAACAAGGCAAATTCGGCTGAAACATGAGCGTAGGCGAAGTAAGGGTACACATTGGCCATGAGAGGTGCGTTAAGTTGAGACAGAATGGTCGCCACACCGGTCATAATCGGCACCGAATCGTCTGTATAAGCGCCTGATGAAGGGGGATACGAGGCACCTAACGCACTCCCCGATATCACAGTTGTGACAGTAATTTGTAGCCCGACCGAGGCAATAGCATTTATGATGTTGTTCATGGCACCAGGAACAGAAGCGCCCAGTTGTCCCGGGATGACTTCATTGCCGATGATGATCCATTTGAAATCAACATCGTCCTTGTAAGGGACAATGTTGGTGTTAACCCAGTCATTGGCTGCACTTTGATCGGCAGCGAAGTTCGGTATGTCCTCATTTCTCGATCCCATCGCGACGAATATCCCCGATCCCTGTAATGCTTCGAGCACTTCAGGGTAAGGCTGATACAACCTGACGTTCAGTACTTTAGATGATTTGTAAAGATTAATTACATCCGCCGGAGATGGAAGATTGTCGCCGTTCAAACCATAGCAAATGCCAATATCGCTGCCCTCTGCAACATACATAGTAGCTCAGTCATTAACATTAAAGACAAAGTTGAGACAAAATGGATTGAAGATTGTTGAATAAAACTTTTCTTTTACCTGTTACACAAAGGAATAAACCTAAAAACACCATTGTTGGGAACAGTAACCCATAAAATCTTGGACTCGTTTTCACCATTTCTCTTGCTTTACAAATTCAAGGCTTTGAATAAAATTTCTAGACTTTTTTCCTCCTCCTGAAACGTCAATTACTGGTGCACATTTCTTGTTCACACTGCCGGCTTTATATAGTGCATATTACACACTAAATGTGG